ATGATTGGCAATTGTTAGCTTGTATATTATTATTTTTGACCCGTCCAGGGTGTACCCTGCCCCTCGCACAGTGATTGCCGGCATGGGCACTGGTGACCCCCATGACTCAAACTGGGAGAAGCGGGTAAAAGATAATGGATGGATGGATTATTATTTTTAATGCGTTCGGTTTATTGGTGAATTTCAGGACACCAGAGGTCATCACACGGCCATGCTAAAAATCTTGTTAAGATTTATTTTCAATTAATTAAAACAAGAAAGATGAGTAAAAGAAAATCTCTTTAGCTACAGTTTTGTTAATTTGACCTTTTAGCTACTGTTGAGATCAAATTAGCGTTTAGCTGCAGTTCAGCTCTCAGTGCTGCTGTCTCATAATCCTGAGGCTACAGGTTCTAGACTAAGTTGTGTCAGTCAGGGCATCAACGAGCAAATCTTTCCTGCAAGTTTGCTCACATGTGACAGCTTAGCTAAAAACTATAACCTTTAATTTTAGTCATATTCAGCTTTTTCAGTTTTTTTCTCTCATTTCAGCTATTATCAATTGTAACTAGAGAAACATGATAACCTGCGAAAATGCAGTGTGAATGTTTATTGCAGCAGAACTTGATTAAAACCGGCTGAAACTAGCTAAAAAAAGCTTGCTGAAATGTAGCTGAAATGGATAAACAAGCCTAAATTAGTTGAAGCAAGCAGAAAGGACACATTTGCTAAATTAGGTTTGAGCAGAAATGAGCACAACAATTAGGAAATTGGCTAAAAAAGTTTAATTCAGAAATAAAGGAAGCTGAAAATTAGATGAAAAGGCAGAAAGAAGCTTAAACTACCAGAAAGTAGTGGGAAGAGCTGAAACGAGCGACAACAAAAAAAGTGGAATTAGCTGAAAAGTTAAAATTAGCATAAAAGAGCTAAATAGTAGCTGAAAGAACAGAAAAAAACAAACTAGCATAAAAAAGCTGAAAGGAGGATAACAAGCTGAAATTAGCATAACAAATTAGTTAGTCTTAAAGTAGCAGAAACTATCACAAAAAAATTATCTGAAAACAGCTGAAATTGGAAAAAAAATGCTAAAAAGGTTGCTGGAAATGTACAACAAACTTAAAGTAAATTTGCAGACGAAAGCATAAAAATCATATGATTAAAGAAGCAGAAATTAGCACAAAAAAGTAGAAGGTATCTGAAAAAAAGAGCAATGAGTAAAAAAAAAAAAAAAACAGCGGAAAAGTAGCAAAAAAAGTTACCAGAAGGAAGTGGAAAGAGCACATTTTTGCTGAATTAGGCTGAAAAAAGTTTAAATAAGTGCAAAAAATGTAGAATTAGCTGAAAAAGCTCAAATTAGTATAAAAAAGCTAAATAGTAGCTGAAACAGTAGAAAAAGCTGAAACTTGCAGAAAGGAGCTGAAAGGAGCATAACAAGCTGAAATTAGCAGAAAGTGGTTAGAAGAAGCACAAAAATGTTGTAGTTAGCAGAAATTATCTGAAAGGAGTAAAAAAACAGCTGGACAAACAGCTGAGATTAGCTGAAAGTACGGTATCTAAAAAAAGTTTAATTTTGCACAAGGAAGCTAGAAGCTGAAGCAGAACAAAATGTGAAAAGAAAGGCTATAAACAGATCTAAACATATGAAGGATGTAAAATGAGCTCAATTCATTTTCTATGAGGAAAAAAGTGTCAGAAAAGGCTAAATAATTCAAAAAGCTAAAGTTGCACCACTACCAAAAGTCATAGCAGGATTGTCCTGAAAAAGCTGAACGTTTAGATTTATGATTTATTGAAATAGCACAAACATTGTGGAATGAAAAAGATGCCGAAAAACGCACAAAAGAATTTAGAAGTAGAAATAAGATCACAATTGTGTGAATGCTTAACAAACATTCACACAATAAAACAAACAACAAAACGTTTTTAATTATTGTAAACTTTTGTCTGAATAGTTAAATATAGTTATATATTTAATAGCAAAGAGTACAGCGGCTCAAAATTCACTTATAAATTGTTGTTAAAGTTTATTTTATGAGTCTACATGAAAAGCAAACATGACACTTGAAGTATAATCAAACATTTCCTTGTCCATATTTTACCCACAGGGCTGGGGTCAAACAGCTGCTCCCAGAGAGAGCTGCAGGTCGGAGCAGGGGAGCTTATGTATGAGGCACGAACACGCCGAGGGAGAAACCTGCAACGGCCTGGCACATCTCTCCAGGAAGTAACCTTGATGAAAAATTCAGTTGTTTGCAGCTCCTGTTGTCCCTTAGGCATGAATAAAGAGAGGTCCAGACAGAGAGAAAAGACCTGGGCTCAGCTCAAAACTACTCATTGACCCACTGCTGGGGTGCGCACACGCCCGGCTACAGCGTTAAAAGATGGGCACAAATTAAACTTTAATCACGCCTCAAACACATTAAGCGACAGCAGCCGAGTCAGCATTTTCAAAGCTGTAACCTCCTCTGAACTCCCGCTAAATTAAATTGTCAGCTATTTAATTCATTTTAAAATGAATAAAATCCTCGAAATAAACCAGAAGTTAAGAACAAAACCCACACATCTGCTTGAATATTGAATATAAATCCTCTCTATAATTTCTCCCTTCAATTTGATGCTGCACTTTGAGAAATCCTATGCAAGGATGAATATTTTTTTTTGGAATAATATCAAAACTGTTGCATTTTTAATGTAGGGATGATCTACCGTGAACACAGTATATCTGACTAAAGTAGCCTGACAGTCAATAAATTGTCAATCTAATTTCCCACGTGAAACCAACGCAGAGGTTTTATATCTTTACGAAAAGCCGTCAGCCTGGAGGGATTTTATTTCAAATATTTTGGCAGGAAAGTATGAAATCTTTAAAGTTTGATGAGTTTTCTTCAATTAATCACTCATTTTAGGTTCTACCACAACTTTTCTGTTGTTAAATATCAGGACGACTTTCATAGACATTAATTATTGCCTTTTATTTGTTTGGAGCTGCGGCTTTGTTGCATGACTGATGTTTTTGTGTGTTACAGTCCTCATAAGTATAACAACTGCCATGAATTTTTAATAATTCAAAATATAACAAATTGTTTGAATAATTTTGATTTTTCTGTTCAATCATTTATGAAGCTAAACAAGTCCATTAATGTGTTGTGTAGCCACGGTTTTAGGGTTTTTAGCTGTTCAGAAAGTCCCCCAGGTTCCTTTAGGTATCTCACTGCTCATTTTCAAGGAGTCTCCAAAATGTTCAAGTGAGTTTTCATTCTCAACGGCTAATGTGAGGTTGTTTAATTTTTGAACAGTGAAACATTTGTGAAACCATTATTTTCCCTCTCAGAGTCAGAGACATTTATCTGTCATTCGCATCTCATGTGGTGCATGTGGTGGAACGAGATTATGTACAAAGGGTCCCAGTTACATCCAACAATAAAATGTAAAAGAAAAACACAGTCAAAATCATTACAGGTATCCATAACTCATTCAAGTTGTGTTTATTTGCCATATGCAAGATTAACACAGGGTTAACAGTACAATGAAATGCTTAGGATGAGAAGAACCAATTTGACTCGCTAAAAAATATCAAAGAACAAAACCAACAAGAAAATACAAAAAGCATGCAATAAGGGTACACACAAAAAAGTATCAAAAAGTGAAAAAGTAATTAAAATATTTACAATGTCCTAAAGAGAGATATTGA